GTCAGTAGCCTGTCCACAACCAACCGGTTCTTCTTGCCTACCGCACTTCCTAGTGCTACTGACCTCAAGTTTCCTGGATTCACTGGCCGTTCCCCCCTCCCTTAGCACATAACACCATATATGGCCTTAAACGCTCTCCACTGATCCTATTGGTCCGTTCTCCTTAACCACCCCCACCCCCCTGCCTACTTCGTATACAGCAGCACCTTTCACTGCCTATCACTACAGCTACTGCACTCTGCATTCCAAGCCATTCAACTGCTCTGAAGATGGAGGCGATACGTTCCTCTGAAACGTCGGCCAAAACGAAGAATACACGACGCCTAAACCCAGAAGACGACTTTCTTCAAATGTAAACTAGTTGAAAGGAAGTGATTGTGACTTAAGTGAGGTACTACCCCTGTATTTGCCTGGTAGGTCTGAGGAATACCACGCTGACATCAATGAAGATGCCTGATTTCCCGGTTGAGTTTCTCCGAAATGGGCACCTCTACAGGTCCACAGTGCTGACTGTACACCAAACTGCTCGGAGCTTGAGTTCTCTGAAATATTGCATCCTGGGAAGCATCTTGTAAAGGCCTGAATGAGTTTTACTCAAGGATACTGCTACCAGAATTTTGCTGTCTTTATATAATTTTTGTAATAAACATGTAAGAAAATTTCTTTTGCAGCATCAAATTTTTATGAAATTCCGTTAATGGTTAATTATAATAGTAAAATGTACCCTGGTTGTAAAATGCACTACTTGAAAGGATGGGAACTTTTATCTGCGTGCGGCTGGACTGAATTATGTATTTTGGCAACAGAAGTAGTGGGATGCAAGATGGGGAAGATTGAGAATCATTGAGTTAATCGACATCCTCTGCGAAGGAAATTATGATCACTTTGGAATTTCGGTAGTTCTGATTCGATCTGTCTTAAAATATGTCCACATATTGGTCTGGAGCTGACCTAAAAGAAAACTAATGAGGAACCTCCCACTGGGGAAGGGACTCTCTAACCGTTCCGGCCTCCTTTTCCCATTTTTCACTTTTTATATTTAACACCTTCACCTACCTTGTTCTTATTAATTGCTCTNAGCTTATAGAATTGTACATTCTGATTGCTTCATAAATAAATAAATAAATAGGAAAAAAATATTGGTCTGGACTGTCACAGCCCACATTCCATTAGTCTGTTATGAAAACTTTGAAAGCCATTTTCTCTTAGTCCCCAAATAGATTTCCATCAACGTATTTGCCGGAAAAGGTCAGCACATTCCCTTTTTGTCACGGCCTACCCGATTCCGCGATCAATTACGCGGCTCTTTTCACCTCACAACACTTGATTACCTTCGATTCTTTGATTAGAGACGATTCCGGCATTCAGCGCCTCTAGTGGCTGTGTTCTGAAGTTATTCGCCATAGATTTTAAAATACCTTTCAGATATATCGATCCACGATACGCTGAGATTGTTACTAAGAGCGTATTCTCTGTTGTTACACTGGTACCACGGGCTACACCAGAGTCTTCTCTTGGGGAGGGGGGTTGCCAGAAATTTTGCATACGAACTCCCGTCTAAACAAAATAGTTTTGCTGATCGTCATAGAATTGCACGTTGAAACAGACGGCGCAAGAAACTGTGTTCAAGATAATTTGGTGTTAATATAGGGCATATTTGCTTCCCCTTGCTTTAACTTCGATTCCCCCCACAATAATCTAGGTGTAGGGGGACGTTGCCTAAACCGTCTCCCACCTGCTTCCACTGATATGAGGCTAGAATTATGAAAATATAAGGCAAATTTATCGTCTGGAAAGACCTAATTGCATTATCACATAATTTTTCCGTGTAGAGGCGTGTTAGAATACCTCCACCGTAGCCCTGCTGGTCATGGAAGGCGATGAAAAAGGACCCCGGTACCTGGAGGTATAACTGGGCCACTCTGTCACTGGGGGACATAAATACAGGGACATGGTCCTCCAGGTTGAGGTTTGGACGCAAGGCTGAAAACTTTGCTCTGTAAAAGAAATTATTGTTGCGAAATCCAAAGAAGTAAACACCACATGGTCTACTTCCAGATAACTCTTTCAGAGTCTTCTAAGGCCGTGTCTCTACAACAAAATGGCTGCTTATTACGCATTAAAGCTGATTACATTTCCGGTCTTTTTAATCAGTCGAAGGATAACGGGAATAATTGCCACATATAAAATTAATAAATATTTTATGTCTGCATTAGTACACAAAGCACATTAAATGCCTGTCTTTTCGTGTCTTTGGTAGTGAAGTTACATCAGGCCATATTGTATAAATAGCTTTCGTAATTCTGTTAGTGGTCACAGTCATTCTACGGAATGAGCTATGCTGACTTCGTAAATAGCTGCTGTCGCAGTCAAGTGAATTCATTGCTGGTTGTTAGTCACAATATCAAGCTAGAAAAACTCTCATTTTCATTTAATTTATTGAAAATGAAGCAACATTCCGCCCGCCTCTCACCCCTTTTACTTAACTTTTACTCTAAGTTTAAGGCGTCTAATTACGCTAGCCACAAATTTCGAGTTCCTGATATTAAAATAGCAGTTATGCCAGGAAACTTTAATTTATTTTTCAAGTTTAAAAAGTTTAGTCTATTTACAGAATAACACGAGAAATCCAATTAAAAAGAAAAATATGATGTGAAAAAAATCCCTTTCCAATCATAGCTGGAAACGATCATAGATGTCGTGTAGTTAGTTCCAGGAGAAATCTCGGGTGCCTTAAGACGTCATAACTAATATCTCCAACAGCGACACGTGTAGGAACCGACTTCAGAATGTGCGATGTAATAATTTCCGTTTTAATATGCGTTTAGTATTTTCTCTGAATTTTATACTGAACTAGATAGAACATCTACCTTAGTTCTGATACGCCATATTCCGTTTTCAACCCTTTAATTACTAAATTGAATTTGAAATTAGAATTTAAATAGAGTATAAAATATTTGGGTTGGAAATTCAAGTTCATCTGAAACGATGTGCCATACTAACCATTGATTAAGTACAACCGTAAGTTCAATGCCGATCACAGTGACCGCGCGGTCCAAGTAATGAACTGTTTCGCTGGTTCAAACGCTGGGATTATGGGTTCGAATCCTACTTCAGCCATAGATGTGTGCGTGCTTTTATTCTGTGTTTGTGTAGGTAGCGGCCTTGCGACGGGCTGATCCCCCGTCCAAGGAGTCCTACAATCTGTGTAAAAGATCAAGAAACTGGAAAGGAAGCCAAGGTCCAACGAAGGGCTGTAGAACCACAGATAGATAAGTAGATAGATAGATAGATAGATAGATAAAGTACAGTTGAAAGCACGAAAATTATTTCCAGAACTGCTCTATAAGCCTGCAACCCGGCCTATACATTAAAAAAGGACGAAATAAATTTTGGTAAGGGTACCACAGGGATATTTCTACATTTACCGGCTGCAACTTTTAATCGAAATTTCTTCACTCAGAAGAACTCTTGGATGTATCGAGCAATCAGCCTTACTTCTTCATCGGCTCTACAGCCCTCTAACAGCCTTCGTTTTCCCTATGNCATCTTCAGGGTTGAAGAAGTATAAGTAAATCTGCAAGCGACAACACCGTGAGACACGGTCAAGCAGACTGACTGCTTGACCGTGTCTCACGGTGTTGTCGCTTGCAGATTTACTTATACTTCTTCAACCCTGAAGATGGGGGCGATACGTTCCTCCGAAACGTCGGTTAACACCACATATACACGGTGCCAAATCCCAGAAGACTGCTTTCTTCAAGTTATTTATTTCATTATTCCTTTGATACATTTATCTCCTTTCCTTTCGCATTTTGTATTCATTTTCCATCCATTTCATGTGTTTGTCCTGTCGTCATTCATTTTTCCATATCTTAGCAACAGTAGAAGACAGTTTAGAATTCCCCGTATCCTGGCAGAGGGGCTACAACGGAGAGCTGTGTTTTCCCAGCGGGTGGTCCGACTGATACGTTGTGGCATTACCCGTATCCTAGCAACCGCATTGGCGTTTTCCCGAGGGCGATCGGTTAAATTGCTCTTGGCTCTCACCAGCAGAGTCATTCTTGATTCTGAGTCTAGGGAGTTGCTTCTTATATACAGGGTGATTCATTCGTCGGCCCCCGTTTAATGATCTTAAATCACGCATTAACGTACCTCTGAAAACCAAACGTGGCGAATAATATACTTTGGGTAAATGTGGACATAAATGGGTTGAAGAAGTTATAGTGTATTTGGATTTTGTGTTTGTTTTCGCGTCGCTTTACCAGTAGAGCGAATCAGAGTCAGAGTTGCTTTACGACTGGCGATTTACCGCCAATCAATTCTTCTTGGCGACAAGTCCATTGTATCTCACGACAGTCATTTTTTTCAACTGAATATTTGCTTTCATAGTCCTTATGTAATATATTCTATGACGAGAGGATACGTAGTTTACAATTGCTGCTGGTCCTCGCCAGCGCAGTCATTCTCAAGTCCGAATCCCGCGGGAATCGTGACCACATTTTACTGTCTCAAATTCGAGACTCCCCCAACCTGGAAGTCCAGGAAACTCTATTTATATCCCCCAGGAACAGGGTGGACTAGTTATACCCCTGGGCAGTATGTTCCCTTTTCGTCACCTCCAACAACTCGCAGGGCTACGGTGGAGGTATTTGACTCCGCCTCCACACCGGAACAATAGAGCGAAGAACAACGAATAACCTTTAAACATTCCGTCCTTACCTCGGTGAAAACATATTATTTAATTGTTAGGAAAATTGCTAGCAGATTCTATTCTGGGAGCCAAAAGATAACTTCTATGAAGTTTACATAGTGTTGAGAAGAATAAACTTTAAAATCGTTGAATCTGAAAATATGTTCCGTTTTTGACTCCCCGCAGGTGCTTTCAACAACAGTGACGTGAAGCAGTGAGGGAGTTGGCACCAGACTGTCGACATTGACGCGACTGTAAGTATTCAAAATCAGTTTTTGTGACACATACATTACGTTGTCGTTGAGAGAAGCAGTGTGTAAATGTTCATTTGAACCAGACTATCCCGGGGCTAGGTGGATGTCTCAATAGATGAAACATGGAGTCAGGGAAACGATTTGTTTACATGTAAATAAGAGAGCGCTCATCGGCTTCTTCTGATTCAAATAGCGGATATTCGAGGGACACCGACTCAGAAGGGGCACGCGGTAGCGTAGTGGATTGAGATATTATGCTACAAGCCGGGAGGTCACGGGTTTCGATTCCTGATGAGGTCACTGGATTTTTCAAATGTCCTAATCCCTTGGGTCGACTAAGCCTCTAACAGAAATGAGTACCAGGAATCTTCCTGGGGTTAAAGGGCGGCCGACTCGTAGGACTGACAACCTCACCGCCATCTGTGAACAGTTTGTCTAGAAAATGTGGGAGCCACTTTACAACCCTATGGGCCTTCACGGCCTCTTGCAAGGATAGCTTTACCTTTTTACCGACTCACATCGCAACGGAACGTCAAAGTCGACAGATTGGCATTCCTGCCTTATATTCATGAGATTTCGGGTTTATATCTCGGCCAGGAGATGGGCTATCCTCACAGATGTTTCTAGTGGATATTCCCAGTCTCTCTAGGAAGATGTCACGAGACAGTACAGCTTAATAGAACTATCTGATACAACTGAGGGCAGAACCTGCCCTAGTATCGCTTCCTGCATCTTGAATTTCACATGAATTCAGAAGGCGTTGAACCCGAGGCCCGGAGGAGTCAGTGCCTATTGGCCTGAGGTATTGCGTGGCCTATTTTTTTTCTCTGTCCCACAGAAAATTCATTTTACGAATGTCAAATAAAAGTCGTCATACAATATGCTAGCCTCTGCTTTGTGCTGTGTAACAAAATTGGAATCGAATTGAAGAAAAAAAAGGGGGAACAAATATGACGCAGAACATACTCACACAAACAAACAAGCAAACAGACAGACACACACACACACACACACGTGGCGTGGGCGAAGAGAAATATATATATATATATGAAGGTATTTTGCTAGGTCAAATATCATTTACACACATTGGAAGAAATCCACTTACTATAGAAGTCTGTATAAAGTTGTTGCCATGGAGATGAACATTCAGTTACTGAGAAATTCGTTTTTCTTTTGCTTCGTTTGAGTGAGAGTACGCGGCAGCGCCATTCGATATTAGAACAGTTGAAATACGTTATCTCACGCCAAAGAACAAATGAAAAGCTTGAAACATACTGGAAGTAAAGTGGGGAAAAGTGATTTAAGAATTTAGACGCTAGTTTGAACAAATTGTGCTCCATCGGAATATCTTTTCATTAATGGAGAGTTTAGTTAAAATTTATCCACTGTTACTGAGCTCAGGCACTAACAGGTGCCTGACAATTAAGTTCACAATCTAAGCAGGCCTAGATAGATAAACTGAATAGTATTATCATAGGCGAAGTGACGGTAACACGTAGTGTGCTTAGTGTTCACCCTCGTTTCGGAGGAACTTACTCCCTACATTTCCAGGGTCGAAGAATAAACCAAGCAAGCAGAGTGTGTACCAACTTTTCAGATGAACCATTGCGTCCATCTTCAAGGTAAAATCAGGAAGTTCCTTCTAAAGTTTGTTGTCTGTACCCCTCTACCTTGTATTCGCGAAGTGAACGCTTTCAGTCATGACCAAGACAACGACTATTGTGACTGAAGTTTTTTATTGTTTAACTCAATCTCTTTAGGCAAATTTAGGGATCATGTATCAAGCTGAGTCCCCCATTACTTCTTTTCAGTTCTTTCCAATTTACTTGATATTTTGTATTTGGGAATAATTCTTTAAGTAAGCCAGAAACAAAGTAAAGGAATACAAGGCGTTATAGCCAAGAAGCACGTAGTACCTAGCGCTAACATTCACGAGCGTGAGAACCCAAGAGCCCACGCTCCAGTTGTTTTTGCGCCATCTTGCCGAGCACGATGGCTCAGGCGGTAATACATCTTACCTACATTCTGAAAGTGCCCGATCTCTGTCAGGACACCGAGTGTTATGACTGAGGTTTCTCATAATTTTCGTTAGTTTATCTAGGTAGATTCCTATATAATATCTTAAATTAGGCCACGACCACTTCATACCACATTATTCCAGTTCAACATTCTCTGATAATTCTTACATTAGACATACATAGTCTAAGATAATGTGGAATGTCTGCTGAAAACTAGAATTATGAAGCCAGTAGAGATAGGCGTTGGTAGGGAAAGGCATGGCGATCACGCCCGTTGTTAGGCAATAGATCAGTAGCGGTCACGTGATCGCCGGGACGGACACGCACGCAATAAAGAAAGAGATGTTTTCTGAGCGGTCTCTGACGGAGCTACAAGTATATAACGAGGGCTAGCTACTATTACGAGAGTCTTGAGACGGCAGTTAGAAAAGTAGGGGGTTGGTATGAGATGTCCGCCAGCCTGCGAGAATATCAACTCGGGAGCAGAGGAACGTCCATTGTTGGAAGATGTTACCAAGCAGAGCAGTGAAGACCGTGACTGAGAACACTAATCTTTGTGTCATAGTGATTTGTAAAGTGTAGCCACGAGTTGTGAAATGTCCAATAAATTTGATTAGCAATCCAGACATCGTCTAGAGTAACTCCATCACGTGACAGTACTAACAGCGTCGTTAAATCATTAAAGAAGCATCATTGCCTTCTGTTCTGAATCTTTGTCATCAAAACAGATGGGCTGAGCCCTAGCTCAGATGATTAGTCTCCGGCTTCCCACAGCGTCGGCCTTGGTTTGATCTCAGGTCGAGTAATTTGGGATCGGAGGCCGCGCCACAGCTCAAGCGGTTAGTCGCTGGCCTCCCACCACGGCGGCCCGGGTTCGATCCCGGGTCTGGTCAAGTGGGATTTATGGTGGACAAAGTGGCGCTGGGGCGGGTTTTCTCTGAGTACTTCGGTTTCCCCTGCCAATCTTCATTCCACCAAATTCTCCATCATCATAATCACCCGGGGCAGGCTACAATAGACCAATCAGTGGCCGCCGTGCCGAGTGGACCTAGTTGGACTCCACCTCCCACTAAGCGAATCTGAGATCTGTGGTGAACAGAGTGGCAATGGGGGCGAAATTTCTCCTAGTACTTCAACTTCCCCTCCCAATTCTCATTCTACGGGCTGCTCCACATTAATTAAACCTGCCACCCGACACTGTGTAGTCTCCATACTGACAGCGTCGATAAGTAACCCACATAAAAAGGGAAAACAGAATTTTGTTTTTAATTTACGCCACCTAACGCGCACGTTCGTGTCGTCATACCGATGAGCGCTTTCATATTCCGCCGGCCGCGCTATTGTCACGATAATTAGAATTGCAGCAACCTTTGACACAGAGATATTGATAATTGGCCCATAACTCTACTATAAAAAATACTTCCTCTGCGCCGAATATTTAAAATCTATTCTCTGAGGTAATGCGCTGTAGGCTGCGTGATATTCTTTGTCCTGCTTCGTTTGATGTCATTAACCGCTAAGCTAATTGCCCGTATTATTCATTGGGAAAAGCTGTAAACTATTAATGCAAGGACATGGCTTCGTGTTAAACATGTATATTAATTAGTGTTATCTCGTTCATTCCAAGCAAATTAATATTCAACCCTCATCAACCTTTCATGTTTGAAAAAAGAAAGGAAGAAGAAAACTTAAGTGAGTTTTTTTGCCCGTTCAAGAGAGGTCATCTCCTGACAGTCTATCTCGATTAGCATTTCCACCACCTTTCGGACGTTCGATAATCGATAAAGAGCTGGCAGACCTACCGAGAAGTAACAGGTCTAAGATGGCGGCAGATAACCCTTTTGTTCAATAAGAGCTGTGATGTTGGTGGGACTTACTAGCTAAATACGGGTCCGACCTATAGGGCTATGGTGTAATTGCATAACTGCAGTTTGTAAGAAAACAGCGACTGTCTTTTCTAGGCGTGATTCAGGTAAAATGAACATCTACATGGCTGTGATATTACTGGTCATTCACCACATTTCTAAGCTAAGAAGTCATTAATTTCTTGCTCATGAGTCCACTAAACTCTACGAGCGATCTACGGGGTCCTAATCATCCTGGCTCTTCACTGTAATTAGAAAATAAAACCGGTGAAGTTTTCCTTCTGCTTAATTAATTAATCTCCATATCATGAAGATGTCGGCATTAGCTGCAGGTGAGTGATGAGCTTCACGTAACGGCCGCTCTACTTCCGGGTATATATCCCGCGATATCCATGGTATAAGAGGTTGGGTGGGTCCCAGAGCCAGTCTGAACGCTGTGGAGAAGAAAGAAATCTCTATCTCGTGTCGGGAATGGAATCCTGACCTTCCAGTCCGTAGCCCGTCGCTATACCGATCGCACTCTCCCTAAAAGCAGTAATGTCTGATTACCGTGATTCGGATGAAATGAACAAGCTCTCACTGGGGCCGTTAGGTAACTAATCTTCTACTGCATGTCGAAATTCGGTAGCTACTCAGTCTGCAGTGCGCATGACGTGTCTGCCTAAAGTACTCGTAGATGAATCACAGCGTTATACTGCAGCATCCTGTTGCACTGTGAATTCCAAATTGGCACTCCCACTTCTCGCCGTCCCTGTATTAAAATTCACACCTCAAAATCATTCGTCTCTCTTCCTATTGTTCGAACACTGCACATTTCGGCCCAACTGGCTGCCATCATCACGTGCACAAGTTGTAGGGGAAACTGATGCTGCACGCTGCTACACTTTGCATCTTAAAGGTGTAAAATGCTTATAAATATTTTAAAATTGTTTTTAAACTATCATGCCATGCACAGCGGTTGCTAAGCAATGACGCTTGCGTTGTCACACTTGGTTGAATGTGGGCAGTTCCCACAGGAGTATAGGGGATTGGATGTATAGATCCACATTTTCTTGGCCTCGGCAAGAGACCATGCCATGATTAATTTGTTATACGCAAGTGTTGTGGCTCTGGGGAA